GAAGGGAAGGGAAGGGAAGGGAAGGGAAGGGAAGGGAAGGGAAAGATTCCTGTGTTCCACCACAATTAATGACATTTTCAGAAGGATGTGACAATATCTTAAAAATAGTAAGTGAAAAAGTTCTTGTCTTAGATGAACAGTGGCCAAAGCAGCAAGGAAATTAAACAACCTCTTTTGGTCAACTCCAAAACACCAGCTCCTGGTGTTTTGGGAATATTTAAATATTTAATATTGGCATATTTAAATGGCTTGGAATAGTTAAATACAATATTTAAATACTTGGAATATTTAAATACAGTTATCAGCTTTATTATGATGGAAGATGTGGAGTACATTGTGGGATTTAGCTCAGAGGCACAGTGCCTGCCTGGCAAGCACAAGGTGGTGAGTTCGGTTCCTGGTACCGGAAAAAAACAAAAAAACAAACAACAACAAAAAAGCCAGCTCCTGGCTGGGAAAAGGAGTTCTCATAGAAAAGTCCAATGGGCCAAGAGCATCTGGAATGGGAAAACACCTCTTCCTTTACACTAAGAGCCTCCCCAGATTAGTCACCTGCTATGACCCCCATAATGTTCACTGTGATAATCTTCCCTTTAGAGTAAAAGCAAGAGTTTCTATGAAACTAGGGGAAGGGAGTTCACAGTCCAAAACTAAGGAAAGACCATCTATTTATGAGAATAGGGAGTAGCACATAGATAACAGAACACGTGGAAAGTGTTATAAAAAGTTATCAATTGTCAATTATTGTCAATTGTCAACATCAATAATATTATATTATTATAATATTAACTATAATAATATAATATCAATATAACATAATGTAATATTAATTATAGTATAATGTTGTATAATAATATTATTAATAATTGATTGCCAATATTAATTGTCAATTATCATCTGGTTTAAATACTAAAGAAACAAGGACAGTCAAGTTACATTTATAGAAATAAATCCAGATGAAAGTTTCTTACAGGTAGCACATCCAAAACTGAAGCTCAAAAAGACTGAAAATAAAAGGGAAAAGCAAATACATAATTGAGATGCCAACTGAAAGCCAGCATTCACATTGTACAAATACATTTTTCATAAATTCACTCTTACAGACGCACTGAGTTACAAGACATCCAACACAATGATATCACACCTTCAACCTGATATACATCCAACAATAAAGACTCATGATGTAAAATTGAAAAAGATAGTACATAGTGGAATATTGTTGTGGAGCTCCCCTAAATAACCAATAGATTACACAAACATGTAAAGGTATTTTACTTTTTGTATAATATATACTCAGTCCCTGTATCCACAGGTTCTACAGCTAGAAATTTAACCAACTATTATAGATCAAATAAGTATTTTTAAAAATTGTATCTGTGGTAAATATGTAGACCTTTGTTGTCACTATCTCTGAACAATATAAAAATTGTTTACACTCTGTCAGGAATTGCAAGTAAGCTAGGATATGGTTCGTAGTATATGGGAAGAGGTTCTACACAAATATTACATTGTTTTATTTAAGGAACCTGAGCATCTGCAGATTTTTTAACCAAAGGGGCAAGGCAGAGGTTCCTGGCTGACTACATGTAGGCATTTGCTTCAACACAAAGTAGAGAACTGAACTGAATATAAGCTGGAAATAAATCAGATCCTGAAGCCACAGTTTAAGAACTAAGCAAGCTCGGCTCTACCAAAGTATTACCATCCTTCAATTTCTAACCTCTTTGCTGTTTAAAAGAGAGAAGAAACAAAAAAGGAGGTATTTCACACCCAAAGGAGACATGGAAGAAAAAGGAAAACTACTGCCCAGTCTTATCTAGGCAGAAGCCTAAAGAAAAAAGTGCACAGAGTATTAACAGATCCACAACATATTACATAATACAAAGTAGTGTTTCTTCCAGAAATATAAGGATATGGTTATAATATTACTATAAAATTATAGGTTAGAAATAAAATGAAACTTTCTTAGTTTGATAATAGGTTATCTATCAAAAGCCTATTATAATCATCTTACTAAATGGTGACATGTTAGAAGCATTTCTTTCAAAATCAGAAAAAAGATTAATTGACCCATGCCTGGGACAACTTATAATTTTAAAATATAATGGAAGTCCTGACAATGCAATGAGATTAAAAAAAGAAAATTTGTAAGACTAAAAAAGATGAAGCCAAGTAATTATTTCATTATTTCTAGATAGAATATTGTCTCCAAAGAAATACAAGAAAATATATAGAAAAAAATAGAATAAATGAGTCAACTGTTATTACAATTGAGTCTTTTATTTGTACTTTTTTCCTTTTCACCATTAGGCATTTAATGTCATAATGTAATGTAGAAATATATTCATAAGCTTGACTGCACTAAATTGTAAAACTTCTGTACATCAAGATAGCATTGAACAGGCTACCAAAGCCTCATGACCAAAGATGTTTGCAAATTTATGATAAAAATAAGAATTAGAACCCAAGAAACAAATTATCAAAAAAAAAAATCTTATACAGGATTGAAAAGATAGACATCTCAATTTAAAACTGGGGGAAAGACAGAAAAAAACTTTACAGAAAATAAATAACCAAAAGGTGGTCATCATTGTGAGTATTCACAAAAATTAACACCAAAGTCACAATGGGATTCTATTTTATAACCTCAAACTGGCAAAGTTTATCCACTTAACAGTTTACCATGAGCATCACTCAGGCAGCACATTTGTTTATGTACTGACTGTCCCAAGCGTCACTCAGGCAGGTTTCATTTCAACCAGTCAATTCTTGTATTGAATAAATTTAATAAAATTGTCACTTTTCTATTTCCTTTTATATTATCATGTGAAAAATACGCAATTTTTGGTCATCCTTTATTTAAATAATTGGGCTGGCCAGGTATGGTGGCACACCCCTGTGATTCCAGCACTCAGGAGCCTAAGGCTGGCAGATTGTTGTGAGTACAAGACCTGCCTGGGCTAAATAGTGAGTTCAAGGCCAGCCTGAACTACATAGCAAGACCCTGTCTCATAAAAATAAATAAATAAATAAATAAATAAATAAATAAATAAATAAATAATTGGACTGGTAAGTAGTTAAAAAGATTGCCAATTCTAAATATTACTAAAGATACAGAAAATGATAAAAAGATGGTAAATGAGTACAGTCAGTTTGGAGATCAATTTGATAATACCCAGTATGCTTAAAGACATACTCTCCAAATCACACACACATAAACTAAAATCTTTAGAGGGACAGTAATAACAGCACTGTTGTAACTGGAAGCTATTAAAGAAAAACTAAATTCCTTTTAGCCAGAGGAAGGGTGATTTTGACATGCCATTTACTTTGAGCAAAATGACCTAGAGGTACATGTCAACATGGATAAATCTCACAACATTAAGTGAAAAAACTGCAAAAAAATGCATTATAGATGTAAGAGACGTGTATAGGCTGTACATATCTATTATTATAAGGACAGGTGTAAATAGTAAAGATACAAAGGAACACATGGTAAGTACCAACTTCAGAACCATGGTGGCCTCTAAACAGGAGGAAGGCAAAGGTGATACAGCAGGAATGTACAGAGGACATAAGCTGTACTGACTTTTATTTTCTTATGGTGGATATTGGTTATACATTCTTGGATCTCTGAAATATTTATTAATAATTACTTCAAAGAAGTTAAGTCTTACTTGGAAAAAGATCAAAACCAAAGTGATGATAACAAAAAGTTGGCCATTATCTCAATCCCCCTGTTTTTTATTTTTTTGAGATAAGGTCTCACTATGTAGTGGCTCAGTCTGGCCTTGAACTCATGGTGATTCTTCTGCCTCAGCCTCCC